CCGAGCGCGGGCCCGCGCGCGCTCCCGCGGCACAGAGCGCGCACACGGCGCACCGGGGCGCGGCCCCCGCCCCGCCGCGCACCGCTCAGGGGCTGCGCTTATTGTGCTGCACCGGGGAGCGGAGAGGCAGGCACCGATTTCTCTGCTGGTCAGTGCCAGGACACGAGGGAATGAATGGCCCAAGCTCCGGCTGGGTATTAGGAAAAGGTTCTTCATGGTCATTGGAACAGACTCCCCGGGAAGCGGTCACAGCAGCAGCAGCCTGACAGAGCTCCAGGAGCATCTGCAAAACACCCCCAGTCTCACGGTGGGATTGTTGGGGTGTCCTGTGCAGGGCCAGGAGCTGGACTGGACAAGCCTTGTGGGTTCCTTCCCAGCTCAGAATATTCTGATTTCCTGATATTGGAATCACCAACACAACACACAGAGGGTTTTCTCCTATAGCTATGTTCAAGTTAAGGGAAAAGATGAACACCATTTTTTGGGTAAGCTGTGCCATAGGTGTAGCCCCAGGATGTGTGCTCCTCCTGCAGCCCCTGTGCCCTCAGCTGCAGGCATTCTGCTGCTCGGGGTTAGCACACAACAGTTTGGGTCGAAAGGGATCTTTAAACACCATCTAGTCCAGCCCTGAACTTCCAAATTGATGGAAGAGACCAACTGGAATGGAGAAGACAAGATTAGTCTCCACATTCCCCCTTCTCACCTCCTCCATGGGGACACCTGCTCAGCAAGAAGGAACCCCAGAGCTGCAGCTGTTTCCTGACAAATTAATAAATGCTCACCTCCTTGCCTGGAAATGCTGCATAGTTCCTGGAATATCCCTGGCTACAGGAAGTTAGAGATAAAACATCTCTGAAAATCAGAGATACTAAAAAGGGGATGGAGGCTGCCTTTCCCAGAAACAAGAGGCAGTAGGCCAGGTACTCACCAGTGTTCTAGAGCACTTGGGAACTTTACCTTTATGGTAAATCACTGCCCTCTCAGGCATTTAGGGTATTTGGGAGAGAGCATTTTGAAGAACAAGTTGCACAGAGTGAAATATATGCTGGAATCTTAATGGATCTGAATCCTGGAAGTATGGTGAAATATGTTAAGAGCCAGCTTTTAATGTCTATCGTACCAAACCTGGAATTCTTCCACAATCCTAACATTATGTTTAGTACTTTGTCAAATCAACATTTAAATCACGCAGGTGGAATTCCTAAAATCCATACCACTAGCAGATAGTCCTAAACTTATTTTCATGTGTGAGTTATAGAGATGCTGAACACCAAACCAAAAATCTGTATATGATAAGTATTGTTTTCAAGTCAGGCCAAACAAACTTTCATGAGAAGACTTAATTTACACATTTATTTACAGTCTAAAACCAAAAACATGCCCATACAACCTCTGGAAATACGGCTGCCTCTGTCCACTGAGATATTGAAAGTATATTGGAATTCTACATACACCAAGTACACACAAAACAATCCACATAACAGAATTAAAAGTAAAAACTTGTACATTTTAAATGAATATTCAGATCAAATCAATCTCAAAAAACAAAGCAGGAAATATCTATACAGTTGCCAATGTTTACCAGCTCTAAAGAATTCCATTGCAAAGCTATTTGCATTAGTGACTGTTGCCATCTTGATTCCATAATCTTTGTTCCCAAGCAAAAATCCAGTGGCAGCAGGCAAGGATTTCAGAAGGATCAAATACTGAGCTATTCTAAAACATGTAACTTCAAAAGAAAATATTGCCTCTTCCATTGTATCCTTCCGAGACAAAATTTTATAAGACATTAATAGCAACAGGCAGATTTTCAGGTATTTCTTACTGGCTGTTGCCCTTGGTAAGAAAGACTTGGGAAGCTGAATTAATGAATACCTCCTAAAGCTGGATGGAAGCTTTGTACTCACATCTGCATTCCAAAAGTCCATTCTACCCCATGCCCTGAAATAGTCTTAGAATACAATTTATCTACTTTGATAAAATCATCCCTGAGCTGCAGCCAGGGATTGTTCCCGTGTTCCACACAGGGCAGGTGTTCTGTCCAAAACATGAAAGGCTACCTGGAATATTGTAGCCATCTACAGCTATGATAGCAAACTGAATAGCTACAGCTATTATTGTGTCTTTATTAACTTCACAAATACTATTAAAATATAGTTAAGAGCAGTCATCACATTTAAATTTAAAATGACTATCATCTCTGTTTAAACTTTGCAACTAGCTTTTTTTATTAGTTCAGGCTAACTTCTGTTAAAGACAACTGTGGGAAAATAATTCAAGCAGAGCCATAATATGGAAAAAATCTTTAAGGTATTAAGAAATAATAACTTATTTTTTAAAACCTTATGATGATTTAGATTAACACCAGTAATAAATGAGTTCCATATTTCTCTATTAATCAGTTTTAAATTAAGGGCTTACAAAACTTTCTGGATATAAACCTTTTTTCTCTCTAATTTTAAAATAATTCCTAGCTTTATGTGGTATGCATGTAAGGAGTGGTGAAAGTGGTGCATCAGCCATACCTGGGGAGAGAGGGAGAAAGAGAGAGAGAGAGAGATAATTGCAACTGTACTCAACCACTACTTACCTGTAATAACTGTTAATAAAACTGAAACAAAAAATGAAACTACTAAAACTAAAACCACAGCTTGAGTATCCATGTACAAACCAGTAATTCTAAGAAGAAATTGTTTAGACATAAGTTTTTAAAATGGTAACATTTTTATTCTATGTTTCTTTTTCTAAACCAACTATGAAGTTGCTCTCTTATGCTAGATACAAGCAGAATGTAAGATGACAAAAATATTTAAAACTCTGGAATTTCCGTCCATTTTACAGAGTTGGAACACTTACCAGCTGGTGCCAAGGATTTCAGTGATTCTAAAAGATGTGGACTAGAAAACTTGACCAAACATCTGAATGGCTCTTTTTTATCCAAAACATCCATTTTAGGATCACTTTTAAACATCGTCTCAAGCTGTTAACACAAAATTTAACCAGTGAGTACAAGCAATGAATATTTTATTTGTATGTGATTACATATTACATTTAAACATTTAATAAGACTGTTTCCAATTTGTAATGATAACATGATTCCACCTGGAGGAATGTTGTAGTAAAATCTGAGGGTGCCACCATGTGGCAGAGTTTTCTGCTGAAAGCAAGAAGCAGCTTGCTCAGCAATACTGTAAAACATTAAGTATTTCTTAGAATTTTCAATTTATCTGTTCATGCAATAAAACCTGTGCATCACTGAGAAATCAGTTATGGTGTCACACATAGCATAAGCTTTGTATGTACTTAAAATAACCCTTATTTCTCATGCTCCAACACACTGCTAGTCTAAGTCTACCTTTGTTACAAAAACAGGTTGAAATGCTGAGGTCACAAGGCTGAAAGACTGGAACACAATCTAAAACTCTGACCAAATTTCAATCTGTTTCTTGCAGAGACTTTTAACTCATTTATTTTAAAATGTCCTCCCTAAAGTTTAAAAAACCCCATAATATTTCTTAAATTTGATCTAACTGCCACTACATTAAAATTAGAAAACCCCAAATAAAATTGGTTGCTTTTCCTACCTTGTATTGTGCAAATTCGAGTTTTGGCTGGGGACCGCTACCAAAAACTTCCTGGTTCAGTCTGTGGATTCTTTCTTTCTCACTTCTGTTTTCTTGAACTATCCTTATATCTGCTGCAGGGGAAAAGAGTAGGAAAAAGAAAACAGAAAGACAATGTTGTCAGCTGGTGCAATCCTGTTTTGCTGATCAGATTATTCCAATGAAAATTTGTAAATAATAGTTTTAATGAATTCATTGCACTCTTTTTTTTTATAAGGTAGTTGTCTCTATCATTTATATTTGCAGTTCTTATCAAGAGAAAAACACAAGCTAATGTGAGATACACTGGGCATTGGGTGGATTTGGTTTCCATGTCCAGTGCCACTCACAGGAAATACTGACCTCTCCCAGTGCCAGCCAGTATTTAAGGCACCAGGGATGGAAAACATAATGGGAATGGAGCATATGTACATTTCCTTTTATCAATCTCATTTCACAAGCTAGCAGGAATGACATTTAAACTGCCTTTACAATTCAATTATACATACCATTTTCTGGTTCTACATTCCTTCCTTGCAGAGGTTTTGGAGTGTGAGTTTGGAAGTTCTAAAAGGAGAGAGAGAGAGGAAAAATTATTTTAATTCAGTTCTTCTTTTAGAACCTCTAGCTGAAAAGAACTTTAATATATTTCCTTTTATTTCTCATTCTGGAAAAATGATCTTCCAAATTTTGGTCATTACTAGAATTCTGAAAGCCAACCTAATTTTGGAAAAAATGCCTGTCTTAGGATGTTTGTGAACATTTGCCTATTTACAAGTTTTGCATGGATGAGCAGACTAAACACCCATTCCAACAGCCTTCAACTCATGGCTCTAGGAAGCCTCATGAAAGGATGATAAAAAAGTTTAGGACTGAATTGTTCATATAATTTTTAGCCTGAGTTTAGCCATCAGGAATTACAATAATAAAGAGTATATGGGATACCAAATAATTACATCCCCATTGCAATGTTACCTTCACGAAAGGCTGTCGACCTCAGTAGTTCAATATTATTTTAACTTGATGGTCTCTTGGAAAAGGTGAATTTTCCCCCTTGCTAAGGGGTGAGAACTAGGCCTGAAACAAAAAGCAAGACTTATCTTAGGATTTACTTGTGAAGTGGCTCACCTGGCTATATCTTTTAAACACAATATCTTTAAGGGAGTTTAAAGAATGACTTCGAAGCTCCATTTCACGGATGTCATGGTAATTGGAAGCGACAATCAGGGCCTTTAAATAAAAATTGAAATTGTTTTAACATCAGACTTAATCATCACTGTGTTTGTAATATGTAAAAAACATCTCTAGACATTGTGATGTTTTTGTTCCAAGGTAAGTAACTGCCCTTTAACTAGGATTTTCATATCTGAAAAAACATTGCAGAGATTGTTATACAGCTTAGGTTAATATTTAAAAGCATTCACAGTATTAACAGGCTAAGTTCCATAGTCTTATCAGCTGAAAAATAAACAGACTCATAAGATATTTGAATTACTACTACAGAAATTTGAGGAGATTTCTAAATAGAGGAAAAAATACTACCAAAGCTGATCATCACAAGTAAACAGAAATGATTCCCTGATGAGATCGTATGCTTAGTTCTTGAAGTTAACAGTGTTGATCTAATATTCTTCCACTTTTGTGAGACAATTTAATGGAATACTGCCCAAGACTTGTTTAAGAAATTAAATTTAGGAACAGTAAAAATCCCAATAATAAGAAACTGAATTTATTCACAATGCATCAATCCAAAGATTTGGGTTTTGCCCCATTTTTATCATGAGCCAAGGATAAAAAAAAATAAATATGGAGTTTAGCAAATTATGTTAAGTGAGGCATCTTTACCAACCCTCTGAAAAGCTAACCCAATTACAGCTCTACATGACTGTGGGGAAGCCAGGGTGTGAGCAGTTTTAATCTGTACCTGACAGAGCAGAGGCAAGTTGCTCTTCAGCACTGAGGCAGAAATGAAGACATAGGGAGTCTGTGAATGGTACACAACATAGCTGGGTTTGTACTGGTTTGGTTTTTTATATGGTGTTCCCCAGGCAACTCTAATCCAGATTGCATTATCCTCATACTCCTTAAAGGTGATGGTAACCTGATAGAAAAAGACAAGATTTGATTTACCAACACATTTAGGTTTCCTGAAATATTTTCTTATCTCTTAACATCTCTGTTCACAAGACCCAAACATAATTTAGTACCACTGCTGGAATAAGGAAAAAAAACCTAAGTGGCATAAGGATTGTATTTAAATAAAATTTCCACAGAAAAACAATAACCTCACAGACTGGGATAAAAAAAAGAATTACCTTTCAAACTTTAATATTGCTTTTTTTTCTGTCAATATACATTTTTTTTCTGAAGGTTGAAAATAGAAAATAGCTTATTACAAAAGCACTGATCTCTCTTTTGGGAAAACAACACAAAGATGTCTGTTTAGAAGGAGGGCTAGTGGCAATAATTCCAATATGTCTATTTTTGGAGAAACTAAACTTTTGATCAACTTCTGATTTTAGACCTGAATATAATATTTATCAATGCTCAAGAATACATAATCAAACATCTACACATTCCCTTTTCTATTCTTGTTGACTTGCTCCTTGTTTACTTCTTTTTACCTTGGTTGTAGGTTGACTAGGTTGTAGGTTTTCTAGTAGGTTGACTTAAAAAAACAAAAACAAAGCAACAGAAACCCCAAAATATTGCAAAAACTTTATTATAAGAGAGTGATGTGGACTGCAGCTGACTGGCTGTGAGTGTGATTTGGATATGTTGCCCTCTCCTGTTGTGAGTGGGAATCCACTGGGTGTCATGGAGTGATCAGCCAGAGGTGTTTTCTATTCCCTTGCCCAAATGAAGCTTGTGAGCTAAAGTCTCCTGCAAACTAGGCAAAGATTTGATAAAAAACCACCAACGTGCTGCCTTTCTTGAAGCCAGTCACATTTTAACACAAACTTGCATTCTATTTCCTTCCAGCACAATTGTGAAGTCGCTAAACCAGATATGCAATACATTTTTCCTATTTCACATGCAGTTCCTATCATTCCCAAATGAATAATTCCATTTAATTCTTGACTCAAACTGTGAGGAACAGTTATGAAAACAACATATTGACACCAGAGCCATGAGGCAAGTTTAGAATGGATTTATTCTTACATTTTTCAAGGCTGACTGAAGTCTTCTTTTAAACTTTTTTTTGAAATCTTTTATGTCAAAACAGTCCAATTCTTCTCCTGTTACATGAGACACAAAAACCCAACCAGAAATAAAATTTGTGTTTACAAGTAGTTTAGAGATGTTTTCAGTTTTGCTGAAACAAAATTAAGCAGAAAAAAATAAAGTTGCATAACCTTATACAAAAAGCTGTATTTTAATTCTGACCCATATTATTGTTACACAGAGAAAAGATTAATATTTCATTAGTAATTACTAATGTGTAATAATTGCTTGAGAAGCAATGGAAATGGGAAATATTCTAAAAACATTAAAGATAATCTCCATGGAAAAATCCACACTAGGATGCAGTAAAATGTTAAAAATCTCTCTACAGAAAAAATCCAGATGAGACCACATGAAAATGTAGGATGGGGGTTAAAATGTAGGGTATCAGGCTGCACAGCACTAAGTGGCTGAGAATTGTGGGATTACAGCAAGGAAAGACATTTTACCTGATTTTTTCATCTGGTAAACACTCCACATTCTTTTGTTTTGGTAGATGTGGTTGTCTAGGAAAAACAGGAATTGCTCAATAACATAATGTATTATCAAACAGGAATTAAAGGAACAAAGAATTTTACAATACTTTTATAGACAGGTTACTTTAAAAATATGACTTCTGATAATGCAATATAATATATTAACAATCTTAAACTATCACTCATAGCAATCATAATAGCAAAATAGGGTTTTTTATTAAAAGAGATGTAAACTTCTTTCTTAATTTGGTGAGTGGCTAATAAAGGGTATCCCTGGGGTTCAATGTTTAAAGAAGGGTTTTACCTAAACTGCCCAATGTAAGACATGTAGACTGTTAGAAAAAACCTTGAGATTTAAACTATTGTCTAAACAAGTTGTGGGTTGATATTGGAGTTAGGAGTTATATACTTTTGTTGATTTTGAGGTTTTTGTAAAAGAGGCCAGTAAGATTCATCTAAAATGTGATGTGCTTATCTCAAATGCATCTGCATCCCACAAGGGTCATCACTATATAATTAAGAGCATTACCAACTTACTCAGCAAAAAAAAAATACAATTTTAATTCACTTTTTACTTACAAATTATGTCTAGAGCTGCTGCTTGCTTTATGTCTGCAGAATTTTCCTGGAAAGAACAAGAGTGCATGATGAACTACAGGTCCAGAAGGCCTGATCACACTGTTTATCAAATGAAAACTAATCTCAGTATTGGTAGTTCAAAGGACATTGCATTGAAGCCCACAGCACATACACTCTCTTCAAAGGCACCACACTGAGTCCCAGGTTTTGAGAAATCAATAAAAGAAATGATTTCAGCAAGGTTTAAATGCAGAGGCAGCAAGAGGAATGTAATCCTTACAGTGCAAGTTAATGGGTATTTATGACAATGCAGCAGTGACTGGTACTTCACTGTCAGGAGTTCTAACCTGCTGGTTATTGCTTATTTATGCTCTACAGCATGAAAAGATTTTTAAGAAACTGCATGACACAATTTGTTACAGATACAAGTATTTCAGATTTTAAAATATGGCATTTGCCATCTTATGAGAATAACTTAAGAGTTTCTTTCCTGTAGTTTGATCCACACTCCAGGTAAGCAATTTTTGAGCATGAAATTCAAAGGGAATCATACCAAAAGCTACAGAATTCAAGTTGTAGCAGTAATAACTGCAACTATCTGTGTTATGATATTAAAGACTTCTGGTACATATAAAGACTCCTGGTACACTTAAATCAGAGTTAGATCATAATTTTTTTGCTTACAGCATGTTGAATGGAAGTAATTCTGGCCAAGGAAAGTTAAAAAAAAATTAAAAGTCTAAAAGATATAAACTAGTACTATCATTACCCATACTAAATAGCTTTAAATCAGGACTTTTTAATGAGTACATATCTCAATCAATGCCTTTATTTTACAATTTAGAAATACACCCATTTCTTAAAGGTTTAACACACCAAAATTTTATCTACCATCTGTAACTTAGATCTCAAAACATGTATTTGCATACTTAGTATAGGGTTGTTCTGCACTCTAACAGATCAGACAAAACCAATGGTGTTACCAGCTCAGCTTTACATTTTCCAGACTACAAAGTACCATTAGAAGCTGTGTTTTGGCCAATGATTAATGTTTCAGTTTTTTTTTCATGATGCTTCTCATGCATCCTACATGTCAATGACAATTTTTTAAGGAGAGGATTTACCTCACAGAGCTGAACAACTTCTTGAGAAATGTTGTCCTTTATCTGGTGGAAATTTAGAGTCTTCAGCTGTGCGTCAGAGAGAAAGCCCCACTTCTGCAGCATCATCTTGATTTCATCCCTTGGGATTTTCAGCACAGTCCTTCGGATATATTCAGCCACAGTTTCATCCATGGTGGAACCACCTGGAAAGCTGAAAGGTTAAAGAAAGCAAGACCAAGCCACAGGCAGGCTCAGGGGACTTGCTCCCTTCAAAGGTGTACAAAGCTGCACCTTGGCACAACTGGCTGACATTGATGGCAGTCCTAAGTGCAGCACTACTACAGACATAGACAGTGGCAAGTTAAAATACGTGCAATAACTTACACAGACACTGAACCATAGAATATCCTGAGTTGGAAAGGATCCAGAAGGATCAGAGTGCAACTCCCAGCCCTGTGCAGGACACCCCAGGAATTCCACCAGGTGCCCGAGTGTGTCGTCCAAACGCTTCTTGGGCTCTGTCAGGCTAGGTGCTGTGACCACTGCCCTGAGGAGCCTGTTCCAGTGGCCAGCTCCCCACTGGATGCAAAACCTTTTCTTTATATCCAGTCAAAACTTCCTCTGAGACAGCTTCATGCCATTCCCTGCGATCCTGTCACTGGTCGTCAGTCATCTCTGCTTGCCCCTCCAGTTCCCCTCAGGAGAAAGTTGTACACTGCCATGAGTTCCCCCCTCAGTCTCCTGTTCTTCAAGCTGAACAAACCAAGTCTCGTCACGCCCTTAGAAGTGTCCCTTACTGACCGAGGCCTGGTGCAAGCAGAGGGAAGGGGCGCTGGGTGCCGCCCAGGGCTGTTGCTGTCTGTCCGGTCCGATGAGTGTCCGGGGCTCTCGAACAGCGGGCACGAGCGCGCAGAACCCCGTGACCGACGGAGAGACCGACCGAGAGACGGAGTGGACCAGGACTGGACCGGATCTAGACCTGGACCTGGACCAGGATGGGATCTGATCCGATCTGATGTGGCCCGGCCCGGCCCGGCCGCCTGCACGCCGCTCCCGCGCCCGCCTTTCGAACCGACCAATCAGACCCCGCGCGGTGCCCCGTCCATCCAATCACAGGGCTCCCCGCCTGCAGCCCCGCCTCGCTCCTGCGCCGGCGCAGTGCGCGCTCTTCGCTCTGAGGCGGCTTCCGGCCGGGGCCGGACGAGTTTCTGCGTCCGCCCCGCACTGGGGTGAGTGAGGGACGGCCTTGGGCAGAGCCGAGGGGAAAGGGAAAAACTCAGGGAAAAGTGGGTTTATAGGGAAACCCTCCCCCCTCCTGCCGTATTCCGTTCCAACCGCCTGGCTTTGGGAGGGGCCGTGCCGAGCCGAGCTCGGGTCCGCCTTCTGGGACCCTCCGCTCACCGCGTAACGGCCTCCGGAGCTCCCGGAGGGCTTGGGAAGGGCAGGTCTGAGGGGGATCACGGCTCTCTCCGTTGGGGCCGCCGTAAGCTGCTCTTCCTGTGTCTGTGTGTGTCCCGTCGCTTCTTTAAGGCCTCCGGGAGCAGTGAGGAGCTGCGGGGCTGGTTCAGTGGGACCCCCCTGCCTTAACCTGGAGCTGCTGCCGCGGCCCCTCGCACCCCGTGGCAGAACCGTGCTGCTGAGCAATGTTTACTTAATGCCGAGTGCTACTTGTCTTTCGTCACGGGATCGGTTTGCTAGAGGGGTCAGAGCCTGTCTTTTCCAACGTGGAAACGTGTTCTCTTGCTCCCTTTCTTTCTGAAGGGGAAAAGCTGTTTTACAGTGAGCAACAAGATTTTGATTCGCTTATAGAATTATTCTTTGGGAAATTAATAAAATGGAAAGGAGATGGAATGAAGCCTGGTCAGGTGGATGCAGCTGAAGTACAAGAGCAGCTGGCAAAACAGGAATTGGGTGACAGCACCTTGTCCTTGTGTAATTGTAGAGTGAGTTGGGTTGGAAGGGACCTCAAAGATGATCTTGTCCAGCCCTCTGCTACAGGCAGAGACCTTCCACTGGACAGTGCTGTCTGGATCTTGTCATTCTTAACTGCATATTCTGCAATATATCCCACTATTTGTGCCACAACTCTGCTGATGCTTCTTGCATGAATACGACCTTAAATAATTGCCAGGAAGTGAAAATATCTGCTAATGCTTTACTCAAGCACCAATTTAAACCTTAAATAAAATTGTAGAAATTAGTATTCAGGTTGGTGTTCCACCTGCTCTGTTCCTTAGATTAACACCTTCTTAGTTTATTTTGCTAAGTATGAAATCGGGTATGGTGTAGTTTCCTCAGGTACTAAAAGCAGGTGAGCTCATTCTGCTGCTCTGAGGGAGGCTGAATTATTGGCAGAAAGCAGTCATGCAAAAAGAAAATCAATATGAATCTTACTCATCAACATTTAAAAAAATATTATTCTTTAGGTTCAGGGAAAGAAAATGCATTCTACATAGTTAAAAAGATCTCAAAGTAGACATAATTGACCCTTTTTGTTTCCTTTCCAGTCTTCATAGATATGTTTCTAAATTATTTTCCCCATTCTAGTAAGTAATGTTGAAAAACCAGTGCATAGTTTTAGAGACTGAAATTCAAGAGGTCCTGAGTAAATTTTGTAAGATTTAGCTAAGCCTGTTGTATTAAAGTGCATTTTAAACTTTCTTGAAGATGCTGGAAAGTTTGGGATCATTCTCAGTGTGCTTAATCATAGCCTAAAGGACAGCACACTTGAATAGCCTGGTCTGGAAGATGATAATGATATTACTGAAAGGTAGAAAAAATGTCCTGAGTTTTGAGTTCCCTTGGCTTTTGAAATGGTGTGCATCAACTGTGATTTCTCCTTTCACTGATCTCTGAGTATTCAAAGCTTTGTCAGAATTCTTTGTGTAGGAAAGAACACTAGGAATGCAGGAGTTCTGCTGAAGTGGCACGAATGATACCTTGAGGTAAACACCAGCCTGTTAGGTGTGGAGCTGAATTTTTTATGCTCAAAATTGGTACAATCTTAGAGAAAACAGGATTTGAGTAAACAAAAAAGTTGTTGAGACTGTAAATATTTTTTCCAAACACCAAACAGAACAATACTGCGAAACTCCAAATGTTTTGTATGTGACAAGGCAGACAGTGACAGTGACAGTGACAAAAAGAAGTGCTGAGCGGGGTTCGATCCCTCCGCGCTGTGGTTCGCGCGCTCCTGCTGCCGCCTTGTGGGCTTTGCTTCAGCGCTGCAGCACATGGTTGTGTTCTGGGGCGCCGTGCAGAGTTCTGTGCTCCTGCTGAAGAGCTTCATCGTCAGCAGTGTAGGTACTCGGGTGCAATTTTTCATCGTCGGGCTTGCTAAACAAGGATTTGCATTTTGATTTAAGAGGTCGTTTTTCTGAACAGTGTGGGAATTCGTGTGGTTCGGGGGTTTTTTTACCATTGACCTTAGAAAGTTGAAAAAAAATATGGTTGTGTTCTTTTCAAATGGAAAAATAGTAAAGCTCAGTTTAAAAAATAGTTTTCTTTTTAATTAAATATGGAAAAGGCACCTTATGGAAATAATTACCTAGATCTAAACGTTCCCTTCATTGTTGCCCCTCAAGCATGGAAAGAGCAAGCTTTGGGCTAAGCAGCAAAACTGGAGGAGTCTAATTCAGTTTTCCTTCTGCATCAGGGAACTGGTTAGTTCATATTTATGGAAGTTTCTGAGAAAAGAAAGGAACTTCCCTGGATTCCTGACATGCTGACCTCATAGTTGATTTTGGGAAGAAGTGAGAATGTACTGAACCCTTTGTTTCTCCACACAGGAAATGTGAGGAAGTCAGGAGGAGAAATTGGCAGGTGGAGAGAAATGAGCATTTTATCCTAAATTTTGATGTCAAATATGAAATGCCCACAGTGTTCTTCCCTGCTTTTTTGGGTCAGCTTTTGGTTTCTGTCTACTTCCTGGGTGTCTGCAGTTTTATTTGAATTCTGTAGTACATGTATGTTCCTTTTGCAATTAATAAGAAATATTTAATGTATTGAACACATGTATAGATCCATTTTCAGATTAGGAATGAGTATCACATCTTGATAATTTATATGTTGATTGCTTTTAGAAAATTTGAGATGTTTAGTCTCCCAAGATTGCTTACAAAAGGAATTATGTCATTATTTTTCTAAACAGAAATATTAGCATTGGAAGTTCAGTATCATTATCAGAGAATTTTCAGCTTTAGGCTTTTGAAAAAAAAATGGTTTATGTTGGAAACCATACAGCTAGAATATCCTATATTTTCCTGCTTAAGGAGAAACCAGGCAGGGTATGATACTGGAATGAGACAATTTCTTAATTATTTTTTCCCAGGAGGGATAACATAGATCTAGGAACTGGTTTAGGAAGTTGAAAGATTAATTATCTTTATCCATTTCTTCTATGTTCAGAGACTAATAGTTTATAGAAATGTTTATTTTTAAGGTATTTTAACCAAATTATTGAGATACCTGTGTAATGTAGTTTTTATCAAGACAGAAATAATTGCACTGAATCCCGTATCAAACACCTTTAAGGGCAGAACATTTCTGTGCAAACCAGTGAAATATGTCAGTGCCATTATGTAGAGATAATTTCTTAACTTCTCTCCAAATATTCTCTTCAGATATTAACATTTGCTTCGTATTTTGCAGTTCAAAAGCAACTCCTATATTTTTTTAATGTTGTTCTTTTACTTCACTTCCAGTATTTCTTGTACAGAAACTGTGTGTTTGTCTTGGCATTCTTTACCCCATATTTCTGTTAGTAGCTTCCTCCAAGCAATTTATATTGCTTATTCACGATTTTTTCCTGTGATTTTTTGTTCTGTTTTCCCACTATTCTTCTATGTATCAATTCCCTTTGAGCTACCACCTATGTAAAATTCTGTCAATTTGGACTTAGATTCTGGTAAGATGGCAACTTGCAATTCCTGTTTTCCATTAGAATGTCGTTTAAAAGGAACTAAGGAAAGCAATGTCCTTTCTTCACACAAATTGTTGTTTCTCTTGAAACTCTTTTGTTTGTCAGAGTCATTCCCCTCCAGCAAAAAGATTTCAGCCTTCCCTGCTCATTTATAGACCACTGTCTAATCTGACATTTCTAAGCATCAGTTTAATATTGAGCACTGGGAACACTGCTCTGTCCTAACTTCAGAAGAGCTTAAAGCCTCCAGGGAGGCTCAGAAAGATGTTTTGTTACTTAGCCCATCACATCCTGCAAGAGCTGAGTGCTAGAACTTGAAACATTCTAATATTGAATGTTACTTGAAAATTTTCAGGAGTACTGATCTATGAACTGGTGTGACAGTTTAGACCTTTGATTTGTAGCATCCATTCTACTGGAGGGGCCATTGGAAAATCCCTTGGAGTTGTTAGAAGGCTTTTTACTAAAAAAGTGCACCATCACCTCAGGAGGTGGCACTGGTGGCTTTCATCCACAGTCTGAGAATACTTTTGCAAACAATGGCAGTGATTACTGTTCTTAGTTTAGAAATAATGACTCTTTCCTTGAAGTGCTCCATTTGACTTGCTGGCTGATGTGCATTCCCAGTTTGATCAGGACACTGCTCTGGCTTTCTCCTGAGCCTGCCAGCTCAGATGACAGTTTTAGGAGGCACAGGCAGAGGCTGAATGATGAAGAGCTTTAATAATCATCTGGGTTCACACATGTTAAAGTAACACACAGCCACTGAGCTGGTCACCCTCTCACGGGAATGCTAACTCCAGAGCTATCAAAAAAAACTCTACTGATAAATTTGAAACATATTGACTTTGTGTGGCATGCAATCAAAAGCTGGTGGCAATAACACAGCAGGGTTCTTAATCACTTTGCTGTTACAGTCGTGCTCCTGCTGTCATATTTCTAAAGGTTCATTTGTTAATTTGTTGGAAAGAATGCTTAAGCAACTTGTACAGTTTCCAATAACTTCTGTGCTAAGAGTAAGTGTAATATAATATTAGACTTCCAGATAGCATGGGGGAAGGTTTTTGGAAGAAAACACTACAACACTACAACTATGTGGAACATATTCTCGTGGTTCTCAAGTGGCTTTTAAATGTTTGGATTTTTAAAATTAAGTTTGCTTGTGGGAATCTAACTCTTGTTAAGCTGAACATATAATGGGAAGTACTGGATATATGAGTGAACGTGGCTCTTTAAGCTGAATATATTCCTTGAGCATTCTAGGAATAGCAGTGGAGATTGTAACTGTCAGCCCTGCAGCTGAATTTTAGGATTTTGCAATAGTAAAATCTGACCATTAGCTACTTGTATTTGTCCAGTCTGTCTAGCAGGACAGTGATGGCTGCTTAGTACAAGTTGTAGTAGTGTTTGCTTGCAGTGTTGCAACTGGGAAGGTGATCCCTCTGGGAGAAAGGGAAATGACAAAATACTAAAAACAAACAAACAAACATACATCTCTCTAATTCAATGGTAGTATGGGCCATAAAAGTAAAATTTTACCAAGATTAGCCCATTTGTCCTGGTGTGAACTGGACTTTTCTCCTCCCCTTCCTAGTGATCTTCCTGAACAAAGATGTCATCTTCCTTCAGCCACTGCCATATGATGCTTTCAATCAATTTCAACTAAAGAACTTGCTCCCTCCCCACAGAACCCTGCAGGAAGGGATGTCCCCTTCAGTGTTTCAGAGAGAAAACATGAGGGAAACCTGAGTGCTTGCTTCCACTGTGTGATGGAGGGGAGGATTCATGTAGGAGAGCAATCCCATTGCTTTTCAAAGCAGCACAGCCTAAGAGCAAGAGGCAACAACATGGAGCTGCAAGAAGGGACATTTCAATTCTTAGTGATTTAAAAAAAATATCAATACTGTTTCGATGAAGTGATTAAGTAAGATTTTAAAGCATCACCAATGTCTGGATTAGGATTTTTTTAAAAAGTGTAGATAGCTAAAAATTATTCCAGTCCTCAGAGTGCTGTAGTGGAATAGCTTTGTGCTACCTGTTGTAGTGTTTGTAAAAGGTAGAAAGAAAATCTCATACACTTAACTTTTTGAAGTAAGAAAACAGAAAATTGAAGTAGGAAGGTGAAAAGATAATCTGGAGTTCCAAGAAAGATTAATGCTGCTAGAGAGTCCCTGAAAATTAAAATATCAGCTAGAGAGTCCCTGAAAATGAAAATCTCAGCTGTGGGTTTATGTCTGTGATAGCCAAGATTATAAACTTCTACTTGACTGTTAACATTTGGGTTGTGTAGAAGATCAGACATGTGCTGGGTTTAATGACTGTGACCATGTAATATAAATTATACTGCATTTTGATCTCAAATATTGTTAAAATAACACAGTGATGACATCTTACATGTTAAATCAGACTTGATAGTGACACTATTTTAATTTTGGCAGGTGGAAATTTTCTCATATTCTTGTCCTTGTGCTACTAAAATCATCCCTAACTAAAGATGCATCCAGACCTGTCTCCTCATCTGCACACTGAAGAGTGTAACCTAATTATCAGTCTGCTCAAGAAGTGTCACAAGGAGGTAAGAAGTGTTGAGCAGAGAAAAGAGTGGGTGGGTTGGGGAAATGAGTGTCAGATAAATTAGTGGTGATATTGTATGATCTTGGAGAGAAAACCGTGCTCTAGGCAGAACAGCCATGAAATATAGCTGGTGTGTTTTCACTGAAGAGCTGTCTCATGACTGTATGTAAAATCATGCCAGCGATTTATTTAGGAAATAAAACATACCTTAAAGTTTTCTGTGCTGCAGCTTAACATTTAGGGCCCTATTTTAAGAATTGGAATAACTTCTGCATCTCTTAGTACTGTGTATCCCTCAAAAACAATAATAAAATCAGCTTCAAATGCCCTCTTTTTGTATGCTCACAGCATTTCCGTATTGCAGCTGTCCCTGGGGCAGAGGCTTCAGTGTGGTTAGAAGCAGATGTGTTTGGTGGGGATCACAGCCACACACCTGATATTCAGGGCTTGGAGAGCTAATTGGGAATTACTGCTTGATTCCATCTTCTTCATGGGCACCTACCCAAGGATGTGAAATGCTAAGCTGTCTTCTCCAGGCTCTTCATTGCTTCAAGGTTATGGAATCCTCATCTCACTTGTTTAAAATCCTTTTTATAAATTTGCTTTGTCTACATCTTCTGCATCTCTAGATATAGAAGATTTGGCCCCTGCATTGAAAGCTTTCTGCAGCATCGTTGCAATGTTGTTAATTATTTTCCCAATATATTCTGAATAAATCTGCAGAGATAATCTTACGGTATTAGTGCATAAAAAAGTTAATTTCATTGTTTTTACTGAGATAAAAATATATTTAAATATTCACTGTGAATGTGAAAACTCTTGATTTACACCACTACATGCAATCCACAATATTTTCACCTCCATGGTTAGTTGTGATGTTGATCCTTTTTTCTAATGCAGGATGAGAAACAAGGCTGATAATTCACAAAATTTGAGAGAAGGTATTTTATCTGAAAGACGGGTAACAACATTTTTGCAAGATTTTAACTTAGCTAAAGAAACATTAAAAACCATTTTCAGCACCACAGTTTGTTATGATTTTTAAATTACAGCAATGAAGGGAGCAGAGTTTTAATATTAAAATGCATTTACAGGGAGTATATTGTACTGGTTTTCTTCAGCAACTTGTGATTTGTTTTGTTGGCACTTGCAGTGCAGTATCTTGAAACATCAGCACACTGCAGTCTGTTGATGCCATCTCACAGGTGGTGCTTCCCATTCCACTGCTCCTGTGGTCTGAGCTTTAAAACTAAAAGTTGAATTAAATGTAGGAGTTACACTTTTCATCCAAGTTCAAAAATTTTAATTTGCCTAAAAATACTTTAGGTAGTTCGAGATATTGTAGAAACTTTTTTCCTTTCATTTTTTAGTTGATTTTTTTTTTGCAACAACTTTAATGTTACAATGTAGGTAAATGTTCTGTAGCTAGAATTAGTGAGAAGACTACATGTACATTAACTAGTAGGGTATCAAAAGGATTGCCAAATGACCCTCAGTTAGGAGAACAGGCAGCATGTAAGCAATATAAAGTGAAAGTGTTGTAATTATTTTTTCATAATTATGAAAATAAATCCAGTTAGGAAAGAAAATACATTCAGATTTGTCCTGCATACCTAGGGAGGCTTTCTGTGCTTTGAGTAGAAATGCAGCAGAATTGATGTATTGCTTGCAAGTAGTGAATGGTTGGCTGGCTTTTTCTTTGTGGTTTGGTTTGTTTTTTGTTTTAAATGAATGTGAAGATAGAAGTATCATGGACTTGTGTGATGTAGCTTATTAGACTGCCTTGAGAACTGGAACTAAAGGGTGCACTTGAACTCCTTGGCAGCAAGTGATTCAAAGGAATCTTGTCAATCTGACTTATGAAGGCACTGGGAGCAGCAATAACAGTCATGCACAGAATTATATTCTCTTGGTTTTGTTTGAAGTTGATCTTTGCATGAAGAGGAATTACTTTTGTCAGTCTTGTGCTCAGCTGGGAGAGGATGTTTGTGCTGGCAGTTTCAGAACAGAAAGGGTGAGGATGACTTTTTCACACTCAGTTGAAAGGGAGCAATATGTTTTCATTTGAAATTCAATGGGAATGTACTGAAATATTTTTAAATTGAACTCACTGAAATCTGAAGTCAGTCATATTAATGAGTTATTGGTTACTACTTGCTGTTTTCTTAAAATGCCAAAATGTCCTAAGAACCTTAATCTGCAATTTAAATCACCATTCCTGAGGGATGAAGAGCATTATTTTTTAATTGGGTGTCCACTTTCACAATAGTCAATTTGATTTACTTTGTCCCTAATCTAGAACCTGTCCTGTATATCAAATTTTGTATCAAGTGAGGAGAGGTTAATGGGATTCCTATTTGATGTCACTTCTTTTTTTAATAATTCCACTCTGGTGCCAAGTATGTGCTATAAATAGACAAATTTTTATAGGTAGCAGCTCAAAGAAATGTGTATTGTCTTGCAGTTGTATCACTGTAATATGTGTAATAGCTATTTTTGAAAAACTGGTTCTTTGTTTCCCTTATAATCTCAGCCAAGAAGCTGACATTTTAGGAATCTGGCTAAATAAACATAGATTAAACCCACTGTATGCACTGCTCAGAGTGGAGTTAGCTTGAAATGTGAGTGTTCACCTTGAAATTTAACATGCAGTTATGGAAGCAGAATACAAAATTAAATCTGTATTATCTGGAATGAAAATGTTGTAAAAGCAAGATCAGTGTGCAGTAAAGTCATCACTTGTTCCGTGCAACTGCTTCAGTCATCTGATGCCCTTTATGAATCACAGAGGTATAAACAAGCTAATTATAGCACTGCTATAGTGAAGTGTTTGTCATAAACTTTATTAACCCACTCCTACTTCAGTTGTGTTCCATTGGCTGAGATCTTGTTCATTGTTTGAATCCTTAATAGTGTTCGTGGATCACTTGTATGAATCCATCCAGCTGCTGGTCAGCTGTGGAAATACACGTAAGTTTCTCTCTGAAATGTGGAGGGGACTTCATTTGCATCTGTTTTGTTCTTCTTGGTCTTTTTTGTTTAAATTCATTAGCTGTAAGATTGGCTGAGTTGTCTCCATTCGTTGTGTAGCTGCAAATATCTGCTAAAAGCCCTCTCCTTCAGGTCTTCTAAATCACTTGGAAGCTCTGGTGCCAGGTTCTGCCCTGACATTCTGTAACCTGGCACAAGCATGCCCCTGAAAAAGCAGTCCTACAGCCATGCCTTCTAAGAGTGCTTGAAGCCTGGTAGAATGGAATTGCTCGAAGAAATCCTGGCTAAGAGGACAGATTTTTATGGTGAATACCATCATGTTAGCTGTGGAGAGCCTCCATGAGGACAAGGCCTGCAGTTTTTTATAAACTAAGGAACACTTGAATGTTCTTAAGGCCCACAATTGAGCTGTGCCATGAAGATGGTAAATGCTTCTTATTTATTAACCTCAAGACCCACAGAGATTTTTTATACTAGTTCTAATATTCTAGTCAATTAAGCCTAGTGCCTGCATCTTCTGGCAACAGCACATTCTTCATGTAGCTGGGATCTTGGAGCAGTGAATCCTTTGCCTCTCTAGGTCACCAAGAAATAATGAAAACTGATGCAGGGAGGACATTGCCTCTGTATCACAACCTGGAGTTCAGAACATTTATTTTTTGTATGTTATTTAACCTAGTGTGAGTGAGAGTTGTGAGACTGACTTCTCAATCAAATCAGATCAATAAAATGCATGTTCTGCACTATGTTATTTAACCTAGTGTGAGTGAGAGTTGTGAGACTGACTTCTAGATCAATAAAATGCATGTTCTGCATTTAAACAATAGCTTCAGCTTAGGTGTCCTCCTTTAGTCTGGTTATGCATGGTGAGTACCTTCAACTTTCAGCCAGGCAGGGGTGGCTCAAGTGAGCTTCAGGAGTAGCTCAAACCTCTGCCTGCTTGGGGAAAAAAGTTACCCAACACCACTTTTCCCAAGAAAGGGAAAGGAGAAGACCAGGATATGTTGAAAAATGCAAATGAATTTAAATAAATTTAGAGCTTCAGAGGAAGAAACCTTTCAATTTTAATTTTTTTTCTCTTAACTCATTAGCACAATGTTTTGAAGTTTTTTGGCCATTGCAATGATATTGACCGTGAGATGAGGAAGTGCTTAAAAAAAGAGGTAAGCAATAAATTATAAATATTGTGTGTTAAATGCTTAGTAAAAAATGGGAGAGAACTAGAGTTGCTTTTTACTAAGTAGTAGGAATCAATAAATGTAAGCACGTTCTGCTGTGGGCACTTGAGACCAAATCTAAACTTTTCAAAATAAATTTGTCAAGTAAAATCTGGCATTAACAAATGGTGTGGTGTATTTTTTGATATACAAAAATAGGCAAACACATTTTAATGAAACAAATATTGCAGATAGGAACTGACACTTCACAGATTGCTTCTGACTCTTTTCTTAGTTTTTTTTTCGTTGTGGTATTTGCACAGAATTTAATATAAAGCAGTAATGGTCATCTCTGCATAAGTAACACTTAAAGCTGAAGTCAGTTACACTGACTGAAACTACTTAATGAGTTGCTGAGTTGCCCTAAATGAAAATATCTGCAGATATGAAGGAATGAAGACAGTTTAAGTGGATTAACTGTTTTAATAGGCACATTTTCAGAAGAGTGTTCTTTATATTTATGGTGGTTGTACCTGCATGACAGAACCTAATAAATGAACATTTCACACACCTTTTAACTTTAAACTGTACTTTCTAATTTTCTAATAAATTTCAGCATACTAAAAAGTTTCTTTCCACAAAATTTCATTATTCTTATTTTTTCTTCCACTGAAGCCTTTAGATTAAAGGAGTTCTTGAGGATTATATTTGTCTGCCTTCTTAAAATCTGCTTATATTGATATGCCATTACTAGGAAGCCCCTGAAAGGTTGTTCACCAATATTGAATAGGTACAGATGTGGCTTTTAAAGATCCATTGTTCTCATTCTACATAAAAACATGGACGGGTTATTGAAAAATTAAATATTGGCAAGGGAAACAGTTAAGCATTCTGTAAATGTTAAGTAATGTTTTGGGTCATTATTTCAGTTATAGACCAATCAGTATAATGGATGAAAAACTGCAAATCCTTTGCAAAATCAATTTCTTTAGTAGTTGATTACATTATATAGAGAACTGAATATTTGTGGCTTACTTGGGTTTTATTCTTGATACCAATTATTAAAATATTGAACAAATATATGCTCTAACCTAAGGACAAAAATAATTTTCTTCTCATGAAATACATATCAAATGATGCATTGATTTTTAATTTTTCATTTATTTGAGCCATGAAAATGTTTCCTTTTTGTTTGCAATGAAAGAAAGGCTCTTCAACCTTCTGCTAGTGCAGGGGTGTACTTGAAAGCATGGTGATCTTGTACATGTATCTTACCTGTGAAGGCTTTCTTGATTCCATTTTACACTGGAGTCCTTCCTCTGTTGTGGTTCTTGTTTAAATCATTAAAAGTCCCCACATGCCTTATCCTCATTCAATCCAAATTTGTCTTTGTTCCTTTCATCTTGGTATCCTGCTTTAGCTGTGCGTATAGTTAATGACCAGGATCAAAAATAGACCAAGCCTGTGATGACAAATTCATTTTTCAGAAGGCAGATACACATTAATCAGTATCTTGCAAAAGGAAAAGAGCCTGACCTGTGCTCTAGAATAGCACCAGTGCAACTTTTTTTTCTTGTGTGAAGTGTAGCTGTCTTATGTTAGATCACTGTATAATTAAATTCCTAAAGATTAACTGAATATTCATTATTAGAATGTTCTAATGCTCTTTAGCTTAATAACCTCAAACTTAGAAACCTGTATTTTAATGGAAAAAATGTTAATTTCAAACTAAAAATGTTAATTTCAAAGTAAAAATGTTAATTTCAAAGTAAAAATGAACCTATATCTAGATATTAACAAGAGCTGTATTTCTAACTCATCAGTCAAATGTATTGTTTCTGTTCCTGGGTACAAAATGCTTCTACAGTTTTAAATTAAACATATCTGTTTAATGATAACAGCTGATCTATTAATTTATCTCTCTTCCAGTATGAAGAAAACAGGCGCAGAAACCGGGAGAAGCGACAGAGGATAATAAATGCTCACAAAGCCTCAGAGAAGTGAGAGCTGTGCTGTGGCTGGACAGCTGCAGCTCCATAGGGATGTTCACTTGCAAGCTGACAGAATACTTGTGTTTCATCACCTGTGTCCAGTGGTTTGTGAAATGGTGACAAAATAAATGCATCTAATACATAGTCATTCCCAGCAAGGCAAGCAGTGTGAAAAAATAAACACCATACATCGCTCACAACCTAACTTAATTTTTGACCTCTAAAAGAAAACTGCTGTGGCAAGTCTTTGTTCTGGCACTTCTGTGGTTGTTATGTAATGAGGAATTGCTGTGTGTGAGGTACTGTGTGTTCAGGGCAGCTGTGTTCCCCACTTTGTACTGAGTTGCATTTATTATCTTGTGTTTAGCAGTTTCTCTTTCATATAATGGGTTTTGTAGGGATTTTTTGTTTGTTTTTCATTGCAAAACACTAAATTAGTTTTTCCATCACTTTTTGTAGTGTTATGATAACGCTTCTTAAATGGATTAGGAAAGAGAAATTTTAAACAGATGTGGCTTGACATTGGGAATTTCCTATCAAGAAATGATTGGAGTTCTAGTATTTTTATTGAAGCTAAAAGGATGAAGCTACTGTCTTCAGCTGAGAAGATTACAAATCCTCCCTGCCAACCATATGTACAGTGTAGACTGTTGTAAGACAATTTGTTCATCATACCCAAAACAAGCGGCTTTAGAAATTCAGAATGGAACATTTCCAGGGATTTACAAAGCTTCCCCTTGATTTTTGTTGAGTACAATCAATGTGTGCTGAGTGATTTTTGAAGAGAAGCGCTGCCAGAAATATATGCTGAAGTTCTTCCATTTTCTCTGGTACAAAAGTAAAGTCACATTATGACTATTGAGGTTGAAGCAAAGCTGACACTGAAGTGAAGAAAAGTGTAACTTCCTCAGGCAAGTCAAGGTGTATCGTGTGACCAGGTTGCCTTGTTAGCCTTTAAAAGGTGTTTATTTTCCATCAGACTGCTGAAAGCCTAGAACAAGTCTCAGAATTCAGAAGATTTGATATCAAAACATACACTGGTTTGTCCACTGATGGAGCTGCTTCTCTGTGTGTCTGCTGGGTTTGCCTTATTTTAAATAATGCCTCTGTTCTGCCTAGCACCAAAAGACTTTTTTAAAATATAAATTTTATTGAGCCTAATATACAAAGTATCTAGAAAACTTGGAAAAAAAAGGTGCCTATTTTACAGTGAATTACATGGTTTGTTGTAAGAACCATTGTTGATACTCAGTCTTGAAATTGGTACATGTCTCTGTTTTTGGCAGAAAATGGTATTTTGTGAGCTCTTTTGAAGGGTGAATTAGATAGAATAATTTTACTTATTTTTCAATATCTGGATGGACCCAATTAAATTGGTAAAATTAAGCCACACATGTTTTCAGTGAAAGGTCCAAGCAAAGCTGAAGCAATTGTTTTCTGCACCTTGACATGCTGTTTGTTTCTTAGAACAAGTAAACAATGCACTGTTTGAATTAATAATTGAATGGTTGGAAGTGGTACAGCCTTTATTGGTACTTTTCATAGTACTTTGAAAGAGTACTTTGTAGTGAGCTCCCCTGTCTGGGAACTCTGCATCCATGGTACTCCTTCCAATGAGATGATACAACCTACTTCAGGCAAGTTCTTAAATGGGATTTGTAGCCTTTAAGTAAATAAATAAATTGAGAATTGTTCCAGAGATTAGGTTGAGAAGCTGATATCTGAGTGCAGAAGCACTGAAGCTTTTGTTTCTTTAATCAGCTTCTGTGAGTCCCAATCTTTCACAAAGCAACAGAATAAGAAACCAAGAGCCACTTAACACAGCTCATTAGTCAGAATCATGTTTGCAAAGATCAATGTGCTTAGTGAATGAAAGACCAAATGGCACACACAATTCCTATTGATACTTTTAACTACATTTATTTATAAATCTATTTTACAGATCAGCTTTGTTTACTTAGTGAAAGTCTGATCATGGTCTTCCTTCTGTTTCTCTTTGCTAATTGCCCACTAATAGTGTGATATGAGAGTGCCCATTGATTCCTGTGGGTTTTGTTCCTTTTGTTTGACAGAGAGTTCATGTTGCTAATTTGAAGCTGAAAAACACTGGTGTAAAAATACTGATGATTTATCTGACAGAGAAAGGGATAAGGGTGAAGTAGTAAATGTGGGGTTTTTGTCTTGTTTCCTGTAGTGAGCTTGGGTGAAATAAACCTTTTATCTATAGACTTTGAAGACAGTTTATTGCAATGTCATTTGTCTATAGGAAAATTTTGCCCATTGTTCTTTGACAGAGTGTATTTGAGAGGGAAAAGAAATTTCATGTAATTTGTGTTGAATTGCATGTGAGAATCTCATGTGTGTTTCATGTTGGAAAGTGAAGAAGGGGGAAACTGAAAGAGGAAATGGCAGCTCTGGCCATAATGATGAGGATTTTCCTTATTGAAGTGCCATAAAAGTCCAGGATACATGGACCAGGAGGAGGACAGAGCAAAGGGAATTATAACTGTCCAGTAAAATCCCTCCAGTTTTACCAGAAAAACACCTGGTAACACTATTTGTAGTGTACTTTCTCTTGCTGGAAAACTAAATTACATTCTGTTTTCCTTATTTTTTAATTTTATTTATATTTTAGTTGAAGGAAGAATATTCTGCTGAATAGCAGCAGCGTAGTGTAAGAACAGCAGGGTGAGTTCTTGCTCTGGTGTTAATTTCTTTATACAACAGGGTTTGTCTCCTGTTGATCTGCAGTGCTGAGTGTTAATATATTATGAATGTACCACTTGTCTTTTCCCTGTAAACTTCAGTTTGTAACATCCTCAAGGAATTATGTCCTTTGTTGCTGATACAGATGATGTGTAGTTTCTTGACCTTGAAGCAAAGCCTTGATTTAGTTGAGCTGCCTGTACAATTTGGGAGAGGACTAGTCCTGTGAGTTAGTTATTCCCTCTGTTACTGGAAATCACCATAATGAATATTCTCAATGTGTTATATACTTTGCTGAAGCTCCACACCTCGTGTATAAAGTGTGTTCAACAGTCAGGTATTCCTTGTCCATGCTTTAAAAAAATTAATGACATCTAATACAATTTTTTTCTAATATAAATGAAAACACACTTCTGTGGAATACCTAAAAGCATTTGAACAACTGGAAAACTGATACCAGATTCTGACAGTTGAGTTGAAAATGAATTATTGACATTAGTGCTTAAGCAAAGGAGATTCTTTACCTGGACAACATAATGGATTTTAGTGCTACAACTAAAGTTACACACTGAGTTTTATTAACATGGACTAGAATGGAGTATCAGCAAATCTTAAGAGGTCCCATTAGATTGTGTATTTTAGGCTCAGTGATAACCATGATGCTCATCAACAGAACCTTGCAGTACATGAAGGTCTACTAATAAACTTGAAGGTGAATAGTAAATTCACATCAGGCTCCCCAAACCTACTTAAATTGGTGTGTACCAAAAAATACATCAACAGGAACAAAATACATATTTACCCTGAAAATGGTTCTTGTGGACCATCATGCATTAAAATTACTCTTTTGAATTATTTGCTGACATTTTAAAGGCTGGCGACTTTCGTGTGGAGCTATTGCTTTAACTAATGAGACTTTTATTGGTATTCTTAGATAAAACAAGATGCATTTCAAAGATATAAGTGAGCAGAAAAATCTTTTGGGACCGTAATTATCTGCAAAGATATTACTGACGGCTTGACAGAACTCATTGCCAGTACAGACATCAGCCATCCAGAACCTGGAGATTTGTTTCAGCTTGGCAAAAGCGTCAAACGCCTTGAAGAGCATGGGATGTGTGGCTAAGCTAGAGGAACGCTGATAGGACCGTGTCATCCCCAGCGCTGGGGTGCTGAGAGCAAAGGCCGTGTTTTGTCAGCGTGACATTAGCGATCTAATTTTTACAAAAACCTTTGATTGGAAGCTATTCATGACCTTTGCTGCCAGCAGTCCGACGCTTGAGTTGTTCGACCTGAAGCAGATCTCATCTCCCCTCCAGCCCCGGGCTGAAGCGGCTGCTCCCCGCGCTGCCATCACCGCGCTCCGGCTGTGCCGCGGTGCCAGCGGTGACTGCGGCTCCGTCCCGGCAGTGCCACTGGGAAACCCTTCGTTACGGGCTGCCAGGAAGAACACTGGGAATGTTTTGGTATTTTTCCCGAGGGCTGGCAGAACGACAGACACCGGCCGTGATCGTGCCCTATGCGGGGCGGCGGCCGGTTCGGAGCTGCACAAGGCGGCCTGCGCTGCCTCCCGGGGCCAGCCGTCAGCGCTTGGCGCTGCGGGATCACCGCGGTCGTCAGCGCCGTCTCCGCTCGCCGCCTGGCAGCCGGGAACGTCGCCAGGATCGGCGGCCGTGATCCGGCCTCCCGCATCCCCCATCCCGTCCCGCGTATCCCGCTCTCCGGATCCCGCATCCCGCTCCGCACCCCGCGCTGCGGGACTCGGCAGCGCCGCCTAGCGGCTGCTCCGTCCCGCGGGAGGCGGCGGCCTTCCCGCCGCGCGGGCGGGGCTCCCTCAGGCCGCGCCGCCATGTTGGCGGGGCTCTGGGTACTGCTTTTGCCGCTGCATTGCGGTGTTGAGGTGTTGGTCTGTGCCCAACCAACACCGTACTGTGCTAAGGAATGGCCTCAGCCCCTGTAAGAACCGGGTGCTGGATGCTGGTGAGGTGCCATCGCACCTACATTCTGTGCAGCCCAACCACAGTGTTTGCCTCAGGTAAAATGACATCCACACTCTTCCCTCATGGGCCAAAAGTTGTCACAGATGACCCCCGTGCTCTGACATACTCTGGGGATGCTGCTGATTGCTCATTGATGCTGAATTCTGTTGCACAATCCTACTCCTGTTTATCACCCAATTTTTTAATCTATTTAAGTCAAGTCCATGTTGTGCTCAGAACAACATTGTTGAAATTAGCAAACGTGGTTGGACTTTGCTGTGTCCAGCACTGAGCAAGGCTCTGACACACTGCCCCACGTGTAACCACAAACCACAGTGGGGATTGACGCTGACAATACCAAAAACTCATCCCTGTGGTGTCTGGTAGGATTAGAAGACTACACCTCACTCTTCCACCTCCTGGATTGGTAGTTACAGCTATTAGAGATATTTTAGGAGCAGCTATGTTGTGCCGTAATCCAGGCAAAACTCCTGTTTTCCAAAGTTCAGCAGGAT